ACACTCTTCAACATTATCAAATACTTTGGTATAATCAATGATCTTTCTTACACTAGCCATAGTAGCTGCTGAATCATTGTCGTTCTTCACATTGGCATCTAACCAAATTAATTGATGTATTTCAATATTCACTCTATCACGATCAATGATAAGTCTTCTTGGTGCTGATTCCGGTGGTTGTGTTGTTACTGATGTAATGTCAGTGGGTGTTGGAGTTAGAACTGGTAGTGGTATGATAGCCATCGATAATAGTTTAGAAATATTTGGCATAGTACTATAGCTTTTATGTGAAAATTAAATGTCACTATGTCTGAGGAAGTTGTCGTCGACAACGAAACGTCGGGTGATAGCACTTTCGTCATACGTGTCGAAAGTGTATGGTATTTTTGGGGGTACCACCCCGCACTTTGGTCACAAGAGTGGTGAAATTCGTAACCAACTTTGTAACATGCCTACCTACTTTCGACACACCGCATCGCGAACTTTTGTCACAACCCAAAAAGAACTACTTGACTACTCCAATTTGGACTGCTGCAGCCTGGACAGTATAGAAAAGATGATGAGAGACACGGCGAGAATTGCACATTTTTAATCCAGAAATTTCATCGACTGGTGCTTGTTTACTTGCTTGACCTTAGATAGAACATTTGCCTTATAAATTGATCGAAGGAAAAGAACACCTAATGCAATATTAATTTGAAATAAAAATACTCTTATTACCTTTACCGTTCTCAACCACGGATGAAACGGTCTAGAAGATTCATAAAAAACAAATCAGCGTGACGAGAACATTTACTTGAGTATAAAAGCACCAGAATAATCTGTCTTTCCACATAAGAAAACGAAAGACGACCTTCAACAGGTGATAACAACTACGACCGTAGTGGAAATACAAATGGGCAAACTCGATGGAAAGACCGCTCTCATAACAGGTGGCTCCGACGGCATCGGTTTCGCAACTGCTCAGCGGTTCATAGATGAAGGTGCAGAACATGTTTTCATCACCGGACGGCGTCAACAACCACTCGACGAAGCCGTCAAAAAAATTACTTTAAGTCCAGGATCAATAGACACGCCCCTGATGCGAAGTGCTGGAGAAGTGTTCGTCAGCCAACGCGCAGCTGCTGCAGTGTTGAATCGTCTTGGCACACCTGACGAAATAGCCAAAGCTGCTGTCTTTCTTGCATCAGACGATAGTAGTTATATAACAGGCATTGAACTTTTCGTCGATGGAGGCTCGGCACAAATCTGACATATTTTATTTTGTTCACTCATATTATTAATAAAATATCTTCATTGTCATATTAGACTTTAAAATAAGATACTGTCTTATGCAACCTCTATCTTGATAGCGCTCTATTTTGTTCATCATCTTTCATCCACTTCATCAATTAACTTCAAACTATCAAAATTGTTTACACATATCGAACTCACGAATGAATTTCTCAATCAATCATGGACAAGACTATAGTGGAATCAAAAGCAATTCGAGAA